ACCCAACTGAACAAGTCACTGTGCGCTCACTCTGGCAGAGATACAAGTGGGTGGCATTGGACGATGTATCCCAATGGTTAAGACAAGAATAAAGAAACGGGGACATAATTTGGTTTAAGACCACTTCCTCCAGGGTAGCTGGGCTTATGTGCTCAGGACAAAGTAACAGGAAACAACAGAGTACGGTTCTGATGTTTTCAATTTCTTTTTATGTGCAAATGTATCTAAGTGTGTGTTTTCTACTCTGAATAGCTCTAACTTAAACTATTAATTTAAGGAAGTCCTTATTAACATGTTTAGCTCTTTTTCCTTTTAAAGAAATCCACCCGACCACCCTGAGTATGAATATGATTTTAGGTAATGTCCCTCGTTTCTGAAAGAAATAATTTCTCTGTTTGGCCATGGGTTTTTCTTAGCTGAGCTCAGGTAGACCTGTGGATAGGATATTCATGTGACTGAAACAGAATACTGTATTTCTTTGACTTAGGAAAAAAAAAATTATAAACATAAACATCCTCTTCAACCATTTGTTTACAATTAATTGCTAATGATAGATAGAATGCTTTGAGAGCAACAGGAAATATAAATAATATAGAAGAAAAAAGAGAAAAGAATAGTGTTAACAATAACAGTTGCAGATGGTTAGCGTTTTCCCTGGAAAGTATTGTTTTAAATTTCTGTTAAATCTTGCCAGATTCTGGGAGATTGTTTGATCTTAAGTAAAACATGTTGCCACTACTTCAGTGATAGTAAATGCTGCTGAAACATTTGCAAAATAAAGACCAATACACTGGAAACACATGAACTTATGTGTTTAGGTGATAAATCCATAAGTGCCATAAAGAAATTACTTTTTGTGTGGTTACGTTTTCAGAAAATCAAGTTGGGTCCTTCAAAGTATTCATACAACATCCATGATCTGCACTGTGGGATTTTACTTGGATGGAATTAAAATTTTTAAAAATCTCCCAAAACCCTTTCAAAATGCACATATGCATATACATTTTTCATATACCTGCAATTAATTCCTTCCTTGTTCTGTAAACAATGAAAACAAAGTCAAGTAATATTCAGTAATTATACTGGTAGTAATTCTAGATACTGAGAGACTTTAATAGTGTGGTTGAAAGGAAATACTTGAGTATGTTCTGTAGATGCTCGGCTGACTCACAGCTCAGTGTTTCACACAGCAGTGAAATGATGAGACATTTGCTATTGTGTTACAGTCAGACTTATTTGGCTGTTTATCTTAGGAATTGTAGAAAGAGATGTGAGCTGTGGCATCTCGAACTTGAGGAGTCATTAATCAATGAGAATATGGGACCAAAAGCCAATTAGTGTTAATGTGTGCATAATACAAAATAGCAAATATGGAAAAATAAAAAACACAAGATAAAGAACTACAAAACATTCTCCAGTAATGGTATGACTACTAATATACTAATTCCTATTGATGCCAGGAGAGGGTTGGTATTTTAAGTCACTTTCACATTAAGAGCAATTCTACTTTTGTCTATTTGCAAATCCAAATAAAAACAATAGGTTAGTATCAAGTGTAGCTTCAGACACTGATTTACCAAGGAATCTGAGGAAGAATCTAAAAAACTTTAAAAGCTGTTTTAGGGTAAGATGGATTATTCTAAAGAAATTCTTTGGAAGTTGTCCCTCTTGAATTTACAGTCACAAATTTATATTCCCTTTGTGATATAAGTGGAAATGATCTATCTTCTGTTCAGATCGTTGGTCAGTATGTCAGTCAGATCAAATGCCACTAATAAGATGCTAAAAAGTGCTTCTGAGGAATGGGGAGTTTCTTTAACAAGCCATAAAGTGCTTTTTAATCCATTTCTTACTTGTTAAAAGCATTATGACTCTTATAGATTGTTCTATCATGATGTGGTTTTAATTCTTTATGAGAAGTGAAAATGCATTGTGGAATTCTGAAATATAAGTTAAGAACTGAGTCTGGGTAGCCTCCTCAATAGTAGCCTTACCCCAAGTCTGAGGTAATAATATAGTTCTGGAAGTACTGTACCCAATGAAATTTTTAAGGATTTTTAAGGAAGGCTATAAGAATTTTTTTCATGAATTAAATTTTTAAAACTTACTTTTGACTTCTAAAGAATTTGGTGTCTCATCCTCTGAATCAAGTCCCTTTTAGAATACCAAACCAATTAGTAATCATGGGAACCCTATGAAGAAGCAAAGCTAGTGTTGCCTTGTGGATTAAAGAGACTGTTTCATTTATCGTGTGAAATTTAGTTACTTCTGGGAGTAAGAGCAAAATTACCAACCTTTCCTCATTTCTAATTAATTCTTTTATAGGGACCACCTCTTTGATTAAATTAAATCAGATTTTACTGATAGCTAAATGTAGAGGTACAACAGTGAGTAAAATCCTAAAATTAAGGTAGAAGGATAGAGACCAGGGTAGAAGGTGGTGACAAGTTCATATCAATTTGCCTGCTGCATGGAGAATGAGTTGCAGAAGGGCAAGGATATGAGATGAAATACTATTGCAATTGTCTACATATAGAAATATGGTGGTTTGGAGAGGGATGGTAGAATTGGTGGTAGGTTTGAGACTGAAAAATACCTCATGATTAAAGTTGTAAGACATGATGATGAGGTGGATATGGGGGAGGAGGAGAGGGTGAGATCACAAGTGCTGCCTCGTTATTACCTAGTAGATGGGAGAGAACATTGGAAGTGGGTCAGGCTGGGGGTGGAGAAAATGGGAATAAGAATAGTAATTTATCTTGAGACATTTGTGACATATTTAATCTTTTTCACCTTTATATTCTAGACTCAATTTAAATAGTTATATCTCAGCAAAAGGTAAATCAGTTAATTAGTGAGGGTATGATCTACGTGCTTTATACAAATATATAAAATCAAATATATATATATATCTACATATATATATATATATATATATACACGTGTGTGTGTGTGAGTGTATGTGTGTGTGTAGAGAGAGAGAGAGTGCATACCATGATAAAAAAGTAAAATTTTACATTTCTCAACACGCCATCACTCCTATTTTTTATATTGTGAAGCTTTTCTCAATTAAGATTTATATAGTTGCTTTTATGACTCTCTTAACAAAGTAAAAAGAATTTGAATTCTCCTTGTTTCTTATCTTCTTATGAATACTGTGTTTATTGTCTTTTGACTAATGGTCTATATATGGAGCATCTTACAGTTGCCAATAATCCAATAGATCATGATATGCATTTAATTTTGAATGTTTGGGAGCAAGAATTTCCAAGCATGGTTTTTCTACTCATATTTTTTTTAGGATTTCCTTCTCTTGGTCAGAGAATGTGTGTTTTTGCTTTAGGAACTTTAAAAGAGACTTCTCTGCTTTGTCTCCAAGCCCACTAACCAATCTAAGGATCAGGAAATAGGACTGACACCTCCCCCCATACACACACTCACACACACACATGCACACACATACACACTCATGAATTCTCTTTTAAACAAAAAATGAATTGAAGAACTATACCAAATATACATGACCAAGTTTGGGAAAGAATGTTAATTATTTGGTTGTGTCTATGCTGGCAAAATGATGGAATTTTGTGGTAATTATTTGAATATAGCATTAAGAAAACCTGATTTGAAGATCTGGGTTCTCATTTCCTACTGAATTATATACAAGTTCTTTGGCATAGCATTTAAAGCGTTCCACAGCACGCCACTGAGCCACTTTTCTATCTTTATCCTCCTCTAATCCTTTCTCTCTAAGCCTGTGCTCCAGACAAACTAGACTGTTTGTTATTCCCTACTTTTCCTAATACTACTCTCTAGACCTGAAATCTTTTGCTTTCTTACCAGATCACTTCCCTTCTTGCTTTTCATTTCCTGCCCATGTCCTGTTCAAAATTCTCAAAATTTTGATTGCTTTTCTCTCAAGGCCTGTCTCAAATGTTAGGGGGACCATAGCCGTGCTTGGTTATTTTTCCTGAAGCATTTTTAATGATTTGCATCTTTCTCTTATGCTTTAACCTTGTAAAACTCCTACTCATCCTTGTTTTTCTTGTTGTGACTATCATAGTGACTTGCATGTATCATAAAACCAATAAGTATTTTTTTTTAAATTAAGTTGAATCATCCCCACTGACAGCCACTATTTATGTTAGACATTGGGAAATTATTCAAATCACGAAATCATCTTGTTTGCATAGACAAAGGTACTGTACCAGGCTCTCCCCATTATATTGCCTCATTAGGCCTCATTCACCAAGCATGGGTTGAACACCTACTAATTGCAGTGTGCTGTGTTACTCTGTCCTGGAAACAGGACCAAATATAATTACATAATCATGTGTCAGGAAAAATATGTAATTATGTGCATCTCACATATTCAAAATAAATTTCTAAAATAAAATAATTAGACTAACTTGATATCAATTAAATCTTGTCCAAATAAAGACGGAACATTCAGCTTTGTTCAGTCTCATGTAAATGCTGATAAAGAGAGTTAATCCTTCCACTTGAGAAAAACAATTAACACATATCTAACCCAGGCACTCATTTATTCAAGAACTTTCTCAACCAAATTCATAAGTGAAGAAAAATTTTTCTTCTCAGTGCCTCCGTTGTTTTTTCAAAGGTGCTTCCAAGGATTTTGTTTCAGAATCTGATTTTGGTATGTGTCTCAGGGTTGGTTATAAACAGGACAGAAGAAGGAGAGTTGAAGTCTGGCAGCAGCAAACAATTGTGGAAAATCTGTGAAGTAATATTGTCCTTGCAACATTTTCCGGCCTACTTTTCAGGACCCATGGGCTTTAGATAAGCATTAGGTATGTGTCCAAAATAAACCACTGGCGTTTTTAAGCCACTGTCCATCCTTGGTGTAACTTTCTCACAAATCATCAACTTCATAAGATACACTATTTTTCCATGATTAAAAAAGTTGGGGGATGGGGGACTACCTGGGCATGTGTGATCTGACGATTCACTGTTTTAACTTAAAAATTTCTGCCCAACAGTGCATTCGTAAAATGACCACACGATGATTTGTAAGCCAAAAAGCATAAGAAATGCATTATGGGTAAGCAGTTTATTTTTGTTATTCTTTTGAAATATTCAGCTGGTATTAAAAACAGATCTTTTGAGCTGGAACAACAGTGGTACAGGTAGACTTCCTACTTTTGGAAAAGATCTGGTCTTTAGCTTATGGGAACCAAGCCGAAGCAGATGTGAAAAGTTCAACTAAAGGAAGAACAGATTAAACGCACTTTTGTGGTTGAAAAACCAAAACAGATGTTATTATTAAACCACAAAAACCTGGGTACATTTAAGTAACACTAGGTGTCTGAATTTTAAATTTGGATTTGAAATAATGAAGACATTTAAAGTTACACAGGCTGTTGTGTGCCACTAAACTCTTAATCTCAAATCAAGCAGTTTGCATATTAAAAAAATTTTTTTTCAAGAACATTGAGTCTCTGTCATTGTTCTTATCATTTGAAAATGAGAAAGCATCTGATGATAAAAAAACAAATCCTTTTAGTGATTTTTAAATTGTTTTCCAAAGCATTTTGAAAATGTGTGTGTTTGAATATATATATATATGTGTATATATATATATTTACACATATATAGACAGCTAGGACAGGTCTAGACTACTGTTGTTACAATGTAAATCTTAGAGGGATGGATCAAGTCACAGGGGAGTACTAAGGTGGTGCCAATACCTGAATGCACAGACCATTGGCCAACTTCCTGGAATACTTCCCCATATTTGACCGCTCTACCATGGGATATAAAATGGTATGGAGAAGCAAATGAAACTCAGAATTGCTCTGCAATGGCATGACTACTCTTCGATATTGAATTTTGTCTTTCTCAATAACTTTTTGTTCTAATATGACATCCCTTCTACTTCAACACAAAGAGGTTAAAAGCCCAAGTTAAAAGGACACAGACACCAGGTATTATCCAGTGAAAAATCCTGGATTTTTCACTGGAGAAAAGCCAGCAGAGAGAGAGGGTGGTAAAGGGAAGGTAGCAGTGATTTGTGTCATAGCATTTGATTATTAATCTAGATATGTTTTACACATTAGGCCAAAAGGGATATATTTAGCTAAAATGGACATTGAGGATGTAGTCTTTCACCTCTATTTGGAAAAATGGGTGTTGTGTGATATGCAATGATTTAGGACAGGGCTGAAAGGATGCCAAGCTCTCACATCACTTCAAACATTGGAAGTGAAAGAATCTCTATTAATTACCTATTCCCATTCAAAGAATTCTCTTTTTCACTCTAGTTCCAAGTTGGGAGAAGAAATGGGGTGACTCCTAAACTCTTTGAGGCGTTTTTTCTAATCATGTATGCTTTTTGTCTCCAAATGAACATTTCTAAAGATCTTTAAGATGATTCCAACTCACACCCTTCATTCCCTCCCTCACTCTGCCTTCACAACCTTGAGAATCAGGTTTGAACATTCCACATGGGAACGACCCGTGCTTTAGCTTAACGTCTTCGAAGACTCATGATGTAACCAGACTGTTATATCATCATATTGGTTACTTATTGGACTCATAATGCTCAGATATATGTTTTATTAAAAATTATATTATACCAATTTCCCTTTTTCTTTTTAATTTTAAAGTGTGGTTATTAGAAAATTTAAAATAACTTAAATGACTTGCATTTGTGGCTTGCATTTTATTCCCATTGGACAGTTCTGTTCTGTCTGGTAAAGAAGAGAGAGAGAGAGAGAGAGCAAAAGAGAGAGAAAGGAAGAGAGACAGAGAATGAGAGAGAAAGAAACATGTGACTACTTTGAGAAAATAATATATTACATGCCTTTATGCTGTACTCAGCCCTTAGCAGCATAGTTTTGACTGTGCATGAATTTCATTTAAAAAATAGGGTCAGCAGTAAGTGATTCTGAGATCGTAAGTAATAAGGCAAGATCTGAAAGCATGCATCTCTTGGGTGGCTAGAGCAATATAACAAAGAGGAGAGATGGTGTTTCAGCTCGGATACATATGAGAGGATGTCCTTGCTTGGCCTGTGCATAAGGGGTAGTCAGCTCTGGATGGTATAAACCACATTCTCCAGGACTGTACATTCTAGATAAGACCTAGATGTGGATAATTCAGTGCCAATTCCTTGGAATTGGTAGTCAGCTCTGGATGGTGTAAACCACATTCTCCAGGACTGTACATTCTAGGTAAGACCTAGATGTGGATAATTCAGTGGAATTCCTTGGAAAAACTGTGAAAAAGAACATAAATGGAGCAATGAAAATATATGGGAGATATGTAACTCTCTAACAATTGGGAATCATTTATTAAATAATTCTTCAGTTACATAAATACCCATTGAGCTTTTATTGATGTCCATTCATACCTCTTCTAGACAGTAGAAGAGGAACCAAAGAAACAAAATCTATGCCCTTCTGATTTTTGCATAAAAAGAGGAATAGAAAGATGACAAATGTGAAGACGAATGGTTAGTACATCATGTTTTTCTATGAAGAAAGTTGAAGTAAAGCAAAGGGATAAGGGGGCAGGGAGTCTTAATTTAGAGAAGGCATTTAAGGAATTCCCCTTTGGAGAGGGGACAATTGAACAGAGACACGGCTGAAGTGAGAGAGCAAATGAAATGGTAACTGTGGGAAGACTATTCCAGGCCATGATAGTGGATGTTCACATGTCTGAGGCAGAGGCTGTGTGGTATGTATCTGAGGAATTACATGGGAGCAGTGAGGCTAGAGAGGAGTGAGGAACAGGGAGAACTGTAGGAAGTAAGGCTACAGAGGGAATTGGGGTCAGGTTGTGCTGGATCTTGGAGGATAAGATACCCTCCACCTTACCCTTGGAGGGTAAGGCAAGGATTCAGAAGTTTATTTTAAGTGAGATGGCCAGCCTTTGTAGAGTTTTTTTTTTTTTTTAAGACTTTATTCATTTATTTGACAGAGAGAGGGAGAGAGATCACGAGCAGGCAAAGAGGTAGGCAGAGAGAGAGGGGGAAGCAGGCTCCCCACTGAGCAAAGAGCCCAATGCGGGTCTCGATCCCAGGACCTCAGGATCATGACCTGAGCTGAAGGCAGAGGCTTAACCCACTGAGCCACCCAGGCGCCCCACCTTTGTAGAGTTTTGAGCATGGTACTGATGCCATCTGGATTTACATTTTAAAGGATCCCTCTGATGGGAAGTAGAACATATATTCTAGTGAGGCAACAAAGGAGAAAGACTGATGAAGAAGCAGTTCAAATAGGCTAAGTTAAGGCTGGTAATAGTTTATACTAGAGGACTAAAGTGGAAGTGGTTAGAAACGGTTGAATTTTGAATGTATTTTGTAGATGAACCAAAGGGTTTTCCTGATAGGTTGTATTTGTGGGAGAAAGAAAGAAAAGAATCACAGATGACTCCAAAGGTTGGGCTTGTGTAGCTATAAAAATGGAATCACCATTTATGAAGACAAGGAAATCTGTAAGAGACCATAATAAGCCAAAGATGCATATTGTAATCTACATGGAATCTACTAAATGGAAAGCTAGAAAATGTATAGCTAACAAGCTAAAATAAAATGATTAAAATATTTGATTAACCAAAAAGAAAAATAAAACAACGTATAAAACCAATGATTCAAATAGAAAACAAATACGGTGATGGCAGACATAAACCCAAATATTAGTGATCAGTTTATTTTTTAAAAAAATATTTATTTATTTATTTTAAAGAGAGAAAGATAACACATGAGTGGGAGGGGCAGAAGGAGAGAGGAACCAAGCAGACTTCCCACTGAGGGTGGAACTGGTGTGGGCTCCATCTCAAGACCCCAAGATCATGACCTGACTGGAAACCAGTCAGAGTCTTGACTGCCTGGGCTACTCAGGGACCCCCAGTAATTATTTTATATGGACTAAAAAGTCCATTTAAAACTAAGATGACAGAATGGTTAACAATAAAATTTGAAAAGAAAACCCTGTGATTCGAACTGGTAGGAAAGAGTGAAAATTAGAATTTAATTTGGATATGATAAGTGGAGATGGTTAATTGGCACTTGACTATTGAAGTCTGGAGTTCAAAAGACAGATGGAGACTGAATATGTCAATTTGAATCACTAGAATTTTCAATACTTAAGAATCCATCTTTCAAATTCATGGTTAAATAGTGACTTAGCTAATTGGCTATTGAGTACTTAGTGGACATGTTTTAAAGGATATTAAAATACCTTACTGATAATGTATTAATAAACTTGTAAGATTTCTTTCCTTCTGGGATTCCATTATACTATCAAATAAATATTTCACTGACAGGGAATTCAGACCAGATGGTTGCTATAGTCCTTTCCAAATCTAAAGTTCTACCCTTAGAAGGTAAATCCAGGATCAGTGCAGGTGAACCATTTCATTTCTCCACAATAAAATATTCCTTGTTGTGTTTTATCTAAATCATGTGAAACAACTATGAAGGCTACTAGCTCTTAAACTCCTGTCAAGGAGTTCCAAGTTGCCCTGAGACTAATTTTCCTTGATAAATGCCATCAGGCAATCACTGGTACAATTTATTTTGCTAAAATTTTATCTTGTTAAAAATATTTGGAGATTTGGAGATATCTATATATCTATATATCTATATATATAGATATATATATATTTGGAACAGTGGGATTCAGATTTTTTTATTACACTTTATCACTACTTTTCTAAATGTGTGACAAATAAAATCTAAAAAATGCTTTCTTACTATGTAGTTGTGTGTTTTTTAGCCTATACACAATTATTATGGTAAGAATTACAATTCTTACCACTATAGCTCTTGATTTGGGGCTCATATTCAACAGATGGTCTTTTTGATATAAATTTTGGTATTTGTTATACTGAACCTAACTGATATTTTGAATTCAAATCCACAGGTTTATAGTTTGCTGTTAAATGTTAGCTTCATTGGCAATTCTATATTAGAGAAATCTGTTTGCATATTGACTCTGTATTCCAAAATATTAACTCTCCTCCAAGATTTATGTTATAATAAAAATGAACACAGTTCCTTCTGTATCTCCTAGTCTAAGCCATTCACAAAAACTTTCAGGGGAAGTGACAGAACAGAAGCCCATGTATACCCTATCAAATATAGTTCTTCTCAGCTTGATAATTACCAAAAGCCTATATTTACATTTCATCAGAGATAAATCTACCATAAGTTAATTGTGTTATATTTTCTACATGGCACCAATAAGGGCAATTTTAGAGTACTGAGAGAGGTAGAAAGAAAGAGAAAATACTGTACATAGTGGAGTCCTTCCTTCCCTTCATTCTGCTCAAGTGATGCATATTTTCTGGTTGCACTTCTCATGGGATTCCAAGTGTTCATAAGG